AACAGAACTCTACCAGCAATAGTCTATATACTTACGTGTAGGTTTGTTCGGTTACCGGTTAATAATCGGAACTGAGTTGGATAGGTATCAGGGTTGCAAGTCCCAGAGCGGGGCTTGCAGAATTCTGATACTCCCGCTTCGGAGGTTGCAGGCCCGCTCTGGAGGTGACCAGAGGTTGTACATCCGCTTCGGAGGCGTGTAAGGACGCTGGGGATTTGGTGCGTACGGTCAGGGACAGTACGGAGCGGATCCGGATATTGTCAGGGGATCTGGAGAGGATACCGTGACAGACATCTTCCCTACTGGCCTGCGTCGTTACAGAGATGGCTGAACTGAGGCATGCCAATAAGCTATACAAGGAGAAGATCATGTAGGAGAAGTGTGAGCAGAAGTTGAGGGAGAAGGAAGTGTGTGACCAACTGAAGGCTGAGAAGGCTAAGGAAGTTGCCAAACACAAGGCCAAAAAAGAGCATCAACAGAATGAGCACAACACCAAAAAACCTATACAATTATGCTAAAGAGGCAAGTGCAAGGCCTCAGAGGTTGCAGCACCCAGAAAGAAGCAGAAATGTGGTAGTACAGCTGCCTGTAGTTGCGCTGCTGCCACGCCTTGCTGCCCATCCCTTCTGGTAACATATAACAGCTGCGGCTGCCCAATCAGAGGGCCACAAAAGTTTGAGTGAAAAACTTGTTCATATAGGTCTATAGACTACTCCACCAAAAATTCTCATAATAATAATCATTGTGTGTGGCTCTACAGCCTCATTTTGTATGAGCGTCAAGGTGGTGATCGCGGTCGGCACGCGCACAGACACGGTAGCCGCCAAAAGGGACGATGCCCGTCGATCACAACGCCGCTGCCGCTAAAGCCTCATCGTCAAGCATCTGACCAATTGTGCATGATCGGTTGCAAAGGTGCCGCTGGAGATATGCAGGAGGTGTTGTGGAGAAGCTTGCTGTTGTGTACCCGGATAAAGCCCTTGCCGCTCCGAATTGAATGCCCTCATCGGACCGTTGTGGCGTGCAGGATGGGTCCAGTTACCTCAACAGGAGGTACACGCATGGTCGTGATCTGAAGATTTTGCGCGTGTGCAGTGTCAAGACGTTGGCTGACGGAAGTTATTGTGTCATGAGCCAAGCTCTTTCCTTGATCGTCACCCTGCACTGGCTGGCGCCTTCCGAGCTAGTGCTGGCCCTTTCCAAGTTGATTCTCTCCAAGAACATCTCCACAAGCCCACAGCACATCGAAGAAAGCTCAGAGCGAGACGGAAGTTCAAAGCTAGGAACCTGTTGGTGTTGTGCTGTAACACCGTGAATGTCTGAGCCTGGATACAAAACAGCAGAGGTGCAGTACACTAGCCGAGATAGGTGCCTATGTGCCTATGCGAGAGTCTCGACTCTTGCCGACTCTGTCACAAGCATGTGTGGTGACACCTGCCTTTCGAGTGGCAGGAACGCGTCATCTTCTCAGGAACGGAACCGCAACAGCCTTGCCGAGACGCTGTCAGATCTCTGAGTCACTCATTACTGCCCCGTACGATCAATTACGCATTGGAATCAACGCGGTTGAAGAGAGGATGCATAATATCGAGAGCAATCATGATAATGACGAAGATCAATGGGGAGGGCCCGAGGATCTGGTGTTAATCAACTCAAAGGAATCACCCGTTACGCTTAAAAATTTCGTGACCGCGATCCCATGGGTATGTGAATGATACCGAGAACAAACCAATGATCATGGAGTGTATAAACATGTTCTACATCGGGCCACCTGAACATCACGGAAGAAATTTGTACTCAGTCAGCGTGGAGGCAGATGGCACATGGCTGCCACGTAACAAGATTCCTGAAGGGACGACATTCTTCTTCGAAGATGTTATGGGTGCTGGGGCTGACGAGAGCGAGTGGAGGATGACAGTGGACATGTTCTGTGAAGGGGATTTGGATGTTCGCTCGAGGAATTCTAGGAGCGTCGGAGGGAATCTCAGAGGAAATCCGAGCGGGAACGACAGTATTATAACCGTTGCGGTATCAATCGGTCCGTAAAAGTTCTGACTATGCCCGTAGCAGACCACCCTATCACAGCGTGTTTCTAATTGGCCAAAACCCCCCTGATGTACATTGCGTTGCGTCGCATTATTGGTCTTCTGTTAACAGCCAGGCAACTCAGGGTATCTAGGTATGCATACGGCTGCCCCAAACAAACGTCGGATGTTTCTTTCCTGAGCTCCGGCTTACCTCTCCCAAGATGCAGTTCTGTTGTGCTTGCCCTCGCTGAGTGCAAGCGCGCAACGTACTCATCTTGAGATATTTGTGTTTGATTGTACCCAGACTCAGCGCGACCTATGTCTTATACAACTTACAGTCTAACAGGTCCTTACTCGTACGACTTAAGATCCACCAACCGCGACACCAGTTGTACACTCAGTCAGTCTCCACTGGTTTGAACAAGTAGATTTATATTCTATTCTGCTCTTGCTCACGTCTGTTTTGACAACGGAAGCGCACATGGAGTCTTCCTTTCTTCGACCATCCATTACCTTACACGGTCAGCTCAACATCCGCCAATGCTAGCTTCCTCACAGCTCCCAATACTCGTCGTCAAATCTTGCTGCACCTCAATCGGAAGCAATCCCTCTATGACCTGCCAATTGCAAACTCCACTCCCACCACAGATCTGCCTCCAGACGCCGTCTCCAACCTTGAGCGCCTGCTCTCCCTCAAACACCCGAACATATCTCTGCTGAAAGATAGTCACCTCCCTCGTCTCCTTGATAGACACCGTAAAATCGCTCTGAGAAGTCCCAGCCAGCGTCATGGTGAAGTTGCCGTACGTAGTGGTATCACCGATAGTGCTGCAGAGAGTCTCGACGCCGACAGGGAAGTTGTTCCCTGCGGCCTCCCAGCTCCATGAGCAGGAGGCCTCGAAGGCGGGAAAACTGCTGTAGCCTCTAGGGACCTGCTGAAGAAGGATTGTGTTAGGCTGTTTGATGTTGATTTGGAGGCTACTGGTGGTGCCGCTGCCAGGGCGGCCGGATGGACTGCCTGCGGAGGCGAAGGTGATCTCCCAGGGATCGAACCCGGTGGTAACTTGGCGAGCGACGAAGGCCGGGGCGGCGGAGGCGATGCCTGCGAGGAGGACGGTGGTGAAGAGCATCTTAAAGGTTGGTCTGATAAAGACTGTAAGCGAAGACGAAGTATTGGTAGTCTCTGATGTGCCAAAGGCGATGATAAATGCAATACGATGCGAGACCTGTTGGTGTCGATAGAAGTCCAAGATGATTCTCTGCTCTCACGTTTATACCCTCGAGCATCGGAGGTATAGTACTAAGTTTAGACTGTTAGGTATTCCCGCGGATGCACTAATGCTTACGCGCATGGAATGTGGGGATAGCCTACGCTCAAACGGGCAATTATACTGACGGTCCCTGTAAGGTTCGAAGGAGGTGCACCAACCACAATGGCACTCATTAACCCGCAGAACGCCTTGAACCCACTCTCGGTAGAACGTCGCCGAATTGCATGACTCTATATGTCTGCTCTCTGTGCAAAAACGGTAAGGAAGCAGCGTGACATGAGTAGAAAGCTTCAGGCAACCAGGCGGTTGGATGTTTCCGGGGGTGAACACGAATGTTGGTCGTATACTTCCTGCATGCGCTACTTGGCTGATGCAACTGTCATTTAGCATCAGTATGGGTTGTTCGCAAAAGACCTTCCGCACCCCGTGGCTTAGCATTGGATAGTGTCAAAATGACGCTAGATTCAATTTGTTAGCAATTTGTACTACAAACAATATTCCACCACATTCTGCACATACGAAGAAGCTCAAATAGCTCAAATCCGCGTCTTGTGATAAAATCCTGGTGTTGTACTTATTAATGGTTTGCAGTTCAAAGCGGAAGAACGTGCTCCTGGCAAGCGGCAATAGCAACAAACCTGCCAAACGTCAGCGTAAACCATCTCAAATCTTTGAGCAAGGTGCCAATTCTGCACCTCCTACTCTGCCGTCAACATTAAGGCATATGCAGCGCTCATAAGGCCGTGCCCTACAGCAAGATGTTCATAATCAAGGTTGTAGCAATGCAACAGACCAACTAGCTAGGGACACTTCCAGTCCAGTTTTCAAACCCAAGGCAAGTCAACTTGTAACTGACGCGCAAGCTGCCAATATACTTAGGGAGGATGAGGACAAGGAGGAGCCTGTTGATGCAATGGTGGACGACGGAGAAGAAGCTGGAGACGGTGAAGGAGTTAGCGAGCAGCCTGCTGCCGCAACTGTAGCTGGAGACTTCACCTGGTGTTGCAGCCGTTACCTTAGCGGCTTGGTCAAGCCAGCAAGAGCATCCTTGGTTAGAAACGGAAGCTCTTGACCAGGAACCACACCTATACTTCAGATGGCGCGCTTGTTGGGGTATAATGGAGAAGAATGCAATAGCTACAGCTGCTTGCTTTGCATGTATAACCTATGTACTTAGTTAGCAATGAGAAGTTATGGCAATGGGTAGATAGAGTTGTAGAGGGGCAGAAGCCACAGATTGCAAAGATTGACAGTTTAACGGCAATGCTGTACTGTACTAGTGGCTGCCAAGCCAAAGCCAATAGGTTTCTATCATGCTGCAGCGCAGGTGGATTGTAATTGGTCAAGGACTTTGCTTGGGTAACTGGATGGATCTGGAGACACAAGTGGAGGAGATGAACAAGGAGAGTGTGGAGCTGTTACACTGCAGCTTTGACTTGGTGTTGAAGGAGGAGCAGGCAGCGTCTCAGCCAGCATTGCAACCAGTTGCGCAAGGTGCTGTTTGCATTTGTCCTGGCATTGTTACAACAATACAAGAGGATGGACTTGCTGGTTGTTACGATCCTGCGTCTCACGACTGGGCAGCAGAGCAATAAGTAACCACCAACCAGATACGGAGACCTGGAGGAAGGCGCAGCATGCTGAGGCCGCTCGGCCGGCGCCTACAAACAACAAGGATCGCTTGCCTACAAGCAGGCCACACGTGACGAACTTGCCAGCAGCTCGTCAACGAGCAGATCTGGTGGACAGTATGTATTATGTGGACACGTTGTCCTTATGACATCGTGTCCAACCTCGTCAATCAACTTTGTTATTGGAATCTCATCTGCTCTCAAGCCAGATAGTCTACTCTGTACTACTCATTGCTACCAGCCGTCACGGTCTTTGACTAGACAACTACACTGGGGTACAGCTGCAGTGTTAAAAACACCGCCAAAGTGAAATTACACCGCACCTCCGTGTAAAACAACTGATTTACACCGCATGTAGGTGTGTTTACAACTGTACATAGTGTAATTCACCTTTCTTAGATGCATCCTCGGACTTGCAACTTCTATCACAGATCCACATATGTGGTAAGGCCAGAATTTTGAGAGTAATTCCTGAATTATGAATATAGGCTTTGTGTATATAAACTTCTTTGCTTGCTGTTGCAGGTAGAACGAGATCTAACGTTGCCCACTTTGCCCCTGCTGTTGAGTCAACCGCTTAGTTACTATGCTTACGTGAGTACGTGCGTATAGTAGATTGATGCTTAGACAAAGCCTTGCTCTGCAACAGTAAGGTTCTCGCTAAGGGCATCTGTGGCCGCGGTAGCTGACTTGATCGCAGCACTATTGTATCGGCGTGCTCTCTGTCGCCTTCATCGTCTTCATCGGCGTCAGAGGCATTTTCCAGTCCATACTGCTCTTTTGCCCATGCGTGCGTAGTCCTTGCGTCAACTATAGACCACTGTGATTTGGCGTTAGACCTTCGTCTCCTTGCCTGTACCAGCTCAGCAAATTTCGAAGATATGCTCTGGCGGCAGTCTGTGTTGGGGTACTTCTGAGCCATATCTCGGAACTCTTTTAGAACTCCTATAGGCCAAGGAGTCTTTGGGTTTGGCCAGATAGCCTTTGGAAAGATATAGGTAATGTCTGAAACATCCCAGAGTTTACATATCTCGTCTATACACCTTGTAACAGCTGACGTAACAGGGTATAAGGCGACATCAGCTGTGGAATCCTCGTCTTGCGTCTCTAACGTTGATTGCGTTGTCTTGTCCACCGCCACCTCTCGTAACAGTTGGTTTTGGGGTGGCTCTACTTCTTGAACACCCCAACTAAGGCTGCGGATGAAATTGTTGTACTCAGTCTGTGATAGGCTGCGGAAAAGTTCGTTAAGCTCCTGCAGTTTTCCAGTTGTTGCGCTTTCGCATGGCACCTGACTGTGAAGATTGTTGAATGTTTGATTAGGGAGAGTTGAAGTCTTGGTGCGCCCTCTGCGACCCCTCTGGCTTATTTTGGTCACGCCATATGTACTCCTCCCGCTTGGATATTGGCCCGCGTCAGAGTATGTAGTGACACTGCCTGGTAGCACTGAGTGAGGGTTCTGTTGTCGATGGAAACTGGAAGGCCTCCCACTGGCAAGGGCCAAATAAGGGGTTGAACGCCTTTGCACACTCTGACTGATATTCCACTGTGGTTGTTCCTGACCTAACTGCTCGTGTTCTGAGACACTGTCTTGCCTGGCGTGAAGTGGCAAAGATTGCAGCCGAGGTGGTGGTGAGGCAGTGTCGGTACCTCTTTTGCACATCATGCATACCCCAACGTGGTTTTCAGGGAACTGGTCGAGCGTGAGCATCCTCCGGCAACCGCCCACGCAATACAGCGATTGACCTAGTTTTGACGCTCGGGTACGACGAGGTCGTTGTGCCAGTGACAGATTGTCGTCTGCGTTGGGGGAAGTTGACCTATCCGCAGCTTGTTGTCGTTTCTTTAAGCCTAAGCTATGTGTCAGACTAAGCCTTGAGACATAGCAAGAGACGTACCTTTATCAGAGCGGAGACAGGCCTTCCTGCGGTTTGTCCATGTAGTTCGTAGGGCCCATTTGATAAGCCAACCGCCATCGAAGTATTTGGTCAAAGGCCAGGCACAAGCAACATACTCTCTCATTATGTTGTACTCTAGTGGAGGTATGTCGTCGAACTCTCGGATGTCTTGAAGACGCCATTCTATATCGCAGGCTGCTCGAATTGTCCTCTTCCATTCCCTTTCTCCTCGCGGATCTACGAATTGCTTATAGTCTTCCTTTGGGATGAGGACACCCACGTAGGCAGCTACATACGCCGCAAGCAGTTTGAAGTCCCCAGATTTAGGGCGCCTGCGGCGACCGTGTGGTTCTAGTATCCTCATATGCCCATTTCTGGCCTTTGGCGGTTCAAAGGTTGTTGGCAAAAGTCGCGAGTTTGCTGTAGTAGACAGCTCGTCTGGTTCGCTGCTGGAGTTCATTTCACCCACAAAAGACTGAGTTGGTACAAACGTATTGGTAGCTTGTCCACGCAGTGTGAAGAGACAAAATGCTCTAGAGGTTGGACATGACTACGCAGTGAGTTGTCACTAGCAGTAGCGTGCTGCGGGTTCCGATAAGCTTTGTGATGCTGAAGGACTGCAGCCGTCAGCAACCTATAAGCAGCTCTTGCCCCAACAAGTCGCTATCTAATTAGAGCTGAACGGGCATCAAGACCAACTTGGCTGGCAGCTCCGCAGATAGCGAAGCCAATTACATGACAGCTATACAAGTCCGTTAGCCGGCAAATCTGACATCCTAGCGGCGCTAAGCTTAGAGTTTAGCTTTAATGACGCTTTAGTGCAGAGGAGTACGTTTTGGCGCATATGATCAGCAGAGCTAGTGCTGCGAAGTGCGGGGTCTGTTAAGCATTCATCATCTTTACAGGATGGTGTCGCAAGTGCGTTAGCTGCAGTAAGCTCAATTGGGTTCTAACCAGTCCACGACGTAGATGCACATACAGCGCCGTTTAGAGCTCATTCGCTGTACGTTAGATGCGCCGGCACTATGTACCAACCCAAGGTAGTCGTCTGAGGTACTGCCTGCTGTTGAAACATGAAAGTCTCTAGAACATCTTCTCAGCAGAAGTCGTGTTCGCAAGGTGTTGTAACACCACCAAATGCCATTCAAGATGCCCCTCAATCAGTTGCCACTAGCAACATAACCAATGGGCACTCCCCAGGTCGAACGTCGCTAGGCAAGGTCTTCCTTGATAGACTGAAATACGCGAAGTAGAGCAGTCCACACAAAGCATCATGATGCCTTCCGCCAACGGGCGGCGCTAACACTATCTTTGTCAAGAGTGTCCCTAGCCCTTGCCTCTCACATGTGGACTGATCAGCAGTACTCCACGTTGTGAAAGGCTCTACGCCAGTGGCCCCTAAGACTGCCCCTATAGCTGTCAAAGGGTGGTGTGCCAAAG